TATTTATACACAGTAATATTTGTATATTTATACACAGTGTATGTGTATATTTATACACAGTAATATTTGTATATTTATACACAGTGTATATTTGTATGTTTATACACAGTAATATTTGTATGTTTATACACAGTAATATTTGTATGTTTATACACAGTGTATATATGTATATTTATACACAGTGTGTATGTATGTATATTTATCAGTTCTTTGGTGTTAAACGTTTCTGAGCGGTGATGCGTTCAGGGACCGTTGTAAAAATGAAACAAGACAAAAACAAAATTTTTTATTCTAAAWTATAAAGTTTATTTCATGTTTGATAGAAGCTGTCGGATCAGAACCACACAGAGGAACCAGACCTGAACCAGAACCAGTTTCTCTGTGTGGTCCTGATTGGTCCAGATGTCTCAGTAACTGTCTCTGTCTCTCTTGTCCTCTGCTCCTTGGTTCTGCTGCTGCTGCTGCTTTCAATCAGGACGTATCTTCTGGACGGGTTAATATCACCTCCTTGATTTGCTGTCCTCGTGTCCTTCTGTCCTCGTGTCCTTCTGTCCTCGTGTCCCTCTGTCCTCGTGTCCTTCTGTCCTCATGTCCCTCTGTCCTCGTGTCCCTCTGTCCTCGTGTCCTTCTGTCCTCATGTCCCTCTGTCCTCGTGTCCCTCTGTCCTCGTGTCCTTCTGTCCTCGTGTCCCTCTGTCCTCGTGTCCTTCTGTCCTCGTGTCCTTCTGTCCTTGTGTCCCTCTGTCCTCATGTCCCTCTGTCCTCGTGTCCCTCTGTCCTGTCTCTTATTAACGGTTTTCCTAACCCTGACCCGGGTCTGTGTAGAGCTCTAGAGGTTTTATGTCCCTGCATGTCTGTGGTCCAGTTCTGATCCAGCCCTGGGTTCTCCAGAGTCTTACAGTTTTTGTGGACAGGAGGAACAGGTCTGGATCAGGACTTTCTGACCCACTAACATGTGTAACCCTGCATGACTTCTGTGGTTCTGGGTCTTCCTGCTGTCCTGGTCCTAACACCGGTTCTTGCTGGTCCAGGTCCTGCATGGTGGAAGAGTCCGGGACTCTGGAGTCTCAGCTGGAGGCCACTAAGGTAAGAGTCCTGAGAGCAGAGCCAGCCTGTCCTGGTCCTGGTTGTCCTGGTCGTCCTGGTCCTGGTCCTGACTGTCCTGGTCCTGTCCTGCAGAGGAAGCACCAGGAGATCCGGGCCATGAGGAGCCAGCTGAAGAAGATCGAGGACCTGGGYGCAGCCATGGAGGAGGCCCTGATCCTGGACAACAAGTACACGGAGCACAGCACCGTGGGTCTGGCCCAGCAGTGGGACCAGCTGGACCAGCTGGGGATGAGGATGCAGCACAACCTGGAGCAGCAGATCCAGGCCCGGTACGTGTCCCCCCTGCAGGTCCGACGTGTCGAGAATCTGCAGAGGACTGACCCGAGTCCTGGTTCTGTTTCAGAAACACCACAGGAGTCACCGAGGAGGCCCTGAAGGAGTTCAGCATGATGTTCAAGTAAGTCCTGGTCCTGGTCCTGAGCAGGTCTGTGTGCACCAACAGAACCTCTAACCTGCTCTGGTTCTGGTTCTGTTCAGGCACTTCGACAAAGAGAAGTCGGGTCGTCTGAACCACCAGGAGTTCAAGTCCTGCCTGAGGTCTCTGGGCTACGACCTGCCCATGGTGGAGGAGGGGGAACCAGACCCAGAGTTCGAGGCCATCCTGGACACGGTGGATCCTAACAGGTCTGGAGGGTTTCACAGGGGGGTGCAGGTCCTGTAGGTCCTGCAGGTTCTGACCCGGTGTGTGTGCAGGGATGGGAACGTGTCCCTGCAGGAGTACATGGCCTTCATGATCAGCAGAGAGACGGAGAACGTGAAGTCCAGCGAGGAGATCGAGAGCGCCTTCAGAGCCCTGAGCACCGAGAACAAACCCTACGTGACCAAGGAGGAGCTGTACCAGGTCAGTCCTGTCCCTGTCCCGTCCAGGTCCAGGTTCTGGTCCTGGTCCACCTCACACCTCTCTTGTCCTTCCAGAACCTGACCAAGGAGCAGGCRGACTACTGTCTGTCCCACATGAAGCCCTTCCTGGACAGTAAGGGACGAGAGGTCCCCTCAGCCTTCGACTTCGTGGAGTTCACCCGCTCGCTGTTCGTCAACTGACCCCGCCCCCTCGTCACCAGAACCACCGCCGCATGACACCAGAACCGCTCGTATTTATCTGCTGCTCTACAGCTACGTGTTAGCCTGCTTTGACCCGGTTCTGACCCGCTCTGTGTCCAATAAATGTTCCTGGTTACAAGAGCTCCGCCTCTGTCTTCATTCTGACACCTGATTGGCTATCTGCTCCAGCTCCCCGCTCTCTGTTGGACCTGGGTCCACCAGCTCAGAACTCAGCTGCCAGACCCCGACCGAGCCATCGGACCTCCCCACGGCCAGCAGCCGGGGGTTCTGATGGTTGAAGGCCAGACAGGTGGAGGCCACGTTGGCCCCGCCCTCCTCCACGGTGGCAGCAGGTCTGAGGGACCGGCGGGCCAGGTCAAAGATGTGGACCGGACCTGGAGACACATCAGTTCTGATTGGTCAGCAGTGACATCATCCAGTAAAAGCCTTTCAAAATAAAGTTTTTATAACAAACTGATGACATTTAGTAGATTAAAAATAAAAGTATTAAATAATTATTAAAAGTATGTAAAATAAAAGTACAAAACTACTTAATACTTTTATATTTAGTAATATTAAATATTCA